TGTGGAGCTGAAGTCCACAAGTTCTAAAGTGGAGTGGAATTTGTGGAGCTGAAGTCCACAAGTTCTAAAGTGGAGTGGAATTTGTGGGGCTGAAGTCCACAAGTTCTAAAGTGGAGTGGAATTTGTGGAGTTGAAGTCCACAACTCTTAAAGTGGAGTTGAACTTCTTGAGTTGAAGTCCACAAGTTCTAAAGTGGAGTGGAATTTGTGGAGTTGAAGTCCACAACTCTTAAAGTGGAGTGGAATTTGTGGAGCTGAGGTTCACCAGTCTCCAAGTGACCGTGGTTGGACAGCCCGGCCGTAGACCCTTCCTTAGACAGATGCACAAGGATGGGGTCCATGTTCCACAGCTCTGTGTTGGCTCTTTCACAGAATCCAGTGTTTTTCCGACGAGAACCAGATGACCACCCACAACTTGGCCATCGTCTTTGGGCCGACGCTCTTCCAGACGGACGGCAAGGACTTCAAGGCTGGACAAGTGGTGGAAGACCTCATCAGGTGCTACATGGAGATCTTCAGTGTAAGCTTGGCCAAGAACGGTGTGGGCCGATGGGCATGAGTGGATTGGGTGGGTTTTGCCGTCTCACTCCCGCAGAATCTGAGCTCGCTCAGAACCAGGAGGAATGGATCTTTGTACAGGGGTCAACTCATGAAGTTGGGAGGGGGAGGAAATGGGGGAGGGGAGCCATTCCATGCATAGTTTCGGCTAGAGTCGGATCTCAGATGACTGCAGCAGGCTTGGGAGGGATGCACCTCATTGGTGAATGTGATTTATGACTCAGACTGAGGGGAAGGAAGAAACGGGTAGAGTTCAGCCGTAATTCAAATGAGGCCCAGATCTGACTGCAAAAAGGCCTTGCCAAATGGGGCTCCCAATAAATGACTGGTTTTCTTTTGAAACTTGGCTTGATACTCATGAATCTTTCGGAAACCTGACAGGAGGTCCTTGATTTATGAGCATAATGGACCCTGTCTGTCATAATTATTAATCATGACAGTGTAAAATAGTCCTGTCACATGACTGATCTGATCTTACAACTTTCTTTGCAGCAGTTGTTAAGCGAATCTGCCATAATTGAGCTACTGACATGGTCGTTAAACAAACCCGCTGGTTAAGGGCACAGTTTTGCCGAAAACCGGAAATCAAGGCCGGTATTCATCCCGAAAGTGGTCAAAAAGCTCAGTCACCTGACCACAGAGGGGACACGCCCAACTATGGCAGATCCACTCTAACTTCACACAACTGCACAGTGGCCATAAGTCATAAGTCGAGGACTCTCTGCGCAGGCGCTCCCCACAGGGGGTCGTCCCCATGTTCTCTGAGGCTGCAGGATTGGGCTCTCCACCCCACCCTCCTCCGGAGCCCAGAACAGGAGGCAGGGAGAGGCTCGGGGTGGTGAGGAGTGTGTCGGGGGGTGGGTGGGCGATGCCTTCACCCCTTGGCCCCCATCTCGGTCTTCCTTCCTCCGCCTGGCAGGTGGACGAGGAAGAGATGAGAAAGCAGCAGGAGGAAATCCAGGCCATCTTGAAGATGCGCATTGCGGGAACCTCCAGCGGGACGCAGGTGAGTTGAGTCCTGGAGGAGGCACCTCGGAGGTCCTCTAGTCCAACCCTTGGACTTATAGGCTGTTTCACCGGGCTTTACAGGGGAGGGATAGATGGATAGACAGACAGAGAGATGGAGTGATAGGTAGATAGAAAGAAAGGAAAAGAAGGAAGGAAGAGAGGGAGGGAGAGAGTGGGAGGATGGATAGACAGAGAGACAGACAGACAGACAGACGGAGAGATGGAGTGATAGATAGATAGAAAGAAAGGAAAAGAAGGAAGGAAGGAAGAGAGGGAGGGAGAGAGTGGGAGGATGGATAGACAGAGAGACAGACAGACAGACAGACGGAGAGATGGAGTGATAGATAGATAGAAAGAAAGGAAAAGAAGGAAGGAAGGAAGAGAGGGAGGGAGAGAGTGGGAGGATGGATAGACAGAGAGACAGACAGACAGACGGAGAGATGGAGTGATAGATAGATAGAAAGAAAGGAAAAGAAGGAAGGAAGGAAGAGAGGGAGGGAGAGAGTGGGAGGATGGAGAGACAGACAGACAGACAGACGGAGAGATGGAGTGATAGATAGAAAGAAAGAAAGAAAAAGAAGGAAGGAAGGAAGAGAGGGAGGGAGAGAGTGGGAGGATGGAGAGAGAGACAGACAGACAGATAGACAGATGGACACAGACA